CATTGCTAATAGTGGAAATGTATTCAGAGTCTGCAAGCCTGAGCCCTTCAAAGTCATCTTGGACTTTTGAACAGACAGACGTACGCAAAACCTGTTGGAACAGTTCTAACGTAAATAGAGGACCTGGTTACCATACTATTCTCTTTTAGATTCAGAGCAGCTACATATCCTTTTATATTAAAATTTAAAAAATGAGCAGAGTATGGTAAGTAGCAATTGTGAAACCTACAGGATTCATTACTTTGCCAAGTAATAAGCATAAGAAATCTGTTGACCTACAACTCCTTTCCCTATTGTTACAATGTTGCCATAGTGGAGACAGCATAAACTTGAGCACAAGCCAGCTGGGTGTAAGCTACACAGTGCCTCTGAAATTCACTTTCTTCATCTGAAAATTGGGCATTATGTTGCCTATCTCTCAGAGATGTTGCAAGGAGTAAAAATAATACTCGGTCACTAACACTGTGCCTGGTCATAATAGGCCTTCAGTGACTAGTAACCATTAGTGGACTTAGAGTTAATAGCACTCCCCATGATTAGTAAAAAATCTTGGCAGAGAGCTTGAAGTGTGGCCAAGTTTTATTAGCTGAGATAGACAAAACTTTTGGAATACAGTCATGCGCTGCATAATGACGTTTCGGTCAATGATGGACTGCAAATACGATGGTGGTCCCATAAGATTATAATGGAGCTGAAAAATTCTTATTGCCTAGTGCCGTCGTAACCATCATAACATCATAATGCAACACATTACTCATGAGTTTGTAGTGATGCTTGTGTAAACAAACCTACTGTGCTGCCATCATGTAAAAGTATAGCACATACAATTATGTACACTACATGATACTTGCTAATGATGATAAATGACTCTGTTACTGGTTTATGTATTTACTATACTTTTTACTGTTATTTTAGTGTGTATTCTTTCAAAAACTTTCAAAAAAGTTTACTGTAAAACAGTATGCCGTGTCATGCTGGCAGCAGCCTCATACACATCTTGTGTTTATCGCATCTCTTCATTGCATCATTTTCTCTTGTGCTTGATTTAATCTCACGTTGTTTTGTTCATCATGGCCCCTTATTGTACAAAATCCACTGCTAATGTTGCCAGTAAGAGGCCATATCGAGTGATTGATCTGGAAACAAAATTAAAAGTGATTAAGGACTATGAAGGTGGAAATCAGTGTTAGTTATTCCTCACCAGTCAGGGATGTCCCATTCCACCACAGCTATGATCTTGAAGGACAAGAACAAAGCGACAGAAGCTGTTGAAGGATCTGCTTCATTGAAGGCCACAAGACTAACAAGGGCCCATATTAGACATGGAGAAACTTCTAATGACCTGGATTGAAGACCAGACACAGAAGCATATGCCTCTCAGCACCATGGCAATCATAGCCAAAGCAAAAGTTTGTTTGCAATGTTGAAAGAAAAGGCTGGACCCAACTACAATGTTGAATTTACTGCTAGCTCTGGGTAGTTTAAACAGTTCAAGAATTGTTATTCATCCGTTGAAACGGATGCCTGAAAGGACTTTCATCCATAAAGATATCAAGTCAATGCCAGGTTTCAAGGCTTTTAAGGACAGGATAACAGTCCTGCTTGGGGGCAGTGTTGCAGGCTACAAATTGAAACCCTTTGTGATCTGGCACAGTGAGACCCCAGGGCCTCAAGCATATCAGTAAGCACACACTGCCACTGTACTACAGGAGCAATAAGAAGTCATGGATGACTTCTTCCAAGAAGTCCTCTTCCAAGACGCCCTCCTGAATTGCTCTGCCAGCAACCTGGAGAAGTACTGTTTAGAGAATAACATACCTTTCAAGATTTTGCTTATTGTTGATAATGCTCCTGGACATCCTTCTTTTATTGGTGATCTTCATCCCAATATCAAAGTGGTGTTTCTCCCTTCAAACACCACTTCTTTGATCCAACCAATGGATCAAAGAGTTATGGCTGCTTTTAAGGCCTACTACCTGAGGAGGACCTTTGCCCAGGCTATTGCTGCAACTGAGGAAGACACTGAAGCAATTCTGGAAGGATTACAACATCTATGACTGCATTAAGAACTTTGCTTGGGCTTGGGGTGATGTCACCAAGGAGTGTATGAATGGCATCTGGAAGAAGACACTCAAGAAGTTCACCTATGACTTCAAAGGATTTGCCAAGGATGAGGAGGTGGCAAAAATCAACAAGGCTGTGGTTGAGGTGGTAAACAACTTTACCTGGGGGTAGATGAGGATGACGTTGAGGAGCTCCTAGAGGTGCTTCCTGAGGAATTGACTTACGAGGAGCTGTTGGAACTGGAGCAGGAATGCACAGCTGAGGCAAGAGAGAAGGAAACTGTAGGAGAAGGAAAAGAAGAACCCCCAAGAAAATTCACAGTGAAGGGTTTAGCAGAAGCTTTTGCAGACCTCAACAAGCTCCTTAAAAAGTTTTGAAAACATGGACCCCAACACCAAAAGGTTTTCATTAATAGAGAGGAAGGTTCACGGTACATTATCTGCTTACAAGCAAATCTGTGATGACAAAAGAAACAGACCAAACAAACTACCGTGGACATATTTCTGAAAAGAGTGACACCTCGTCAAGGAGAGCCTCAGGCAGGTCCTTCAGGAGGCGTTCCAGAAGAAGGCCTTGTTATCATAGGAGATGACAGCTCCATGCGTGTTATTGCCCCTGAAGACCTTCCAGTGGGATGAGATATGAAGATAGAAGACAGTGATACTGACGATCCTGACCCTGTGTAGGCCTGGGCTAGTGTGTGTGTTTGTGTCTTAGTTTTTAATGAAAAGCTTAAAAAGTAAAAAAGAAAAATTAAAAATTTTAAAAAATAGAGAAAAGCTTATAGAATAAGGATATGAAGAAAGAAAAGATTTTTGTACAGCTATACAATGTGTTGGTGTTTTAAGCTAAGTGTTATCACAAGAGTCAAAAAGTTTAAAAAGTGTCTAAAATAAAAAAGTTACAGTAATTAATTTTTTTTTTGAGGAAGATCAGCCCTGAGGTAACATCCACCAGTCCTCCTCTTTTTTTTTTTTTTTTTTTTGCTGAGGAAGACTGGCCCTGGGCTAACATCTGTGCCCATCTTCCTCTACTTTATGTAGGACGCTGCCACAGCATGGCTGGACAAGCGGTGCGTCGGTGCGCACCCGGGATCCGAACCCCGGGCTGCCGCAGCGGAGCACGTGCCCTTAATCGCTGCACCACTGGGCCAGCCCCTAGTTAAGGTTAATTTATTATTGAAGAAAAATTTTTTAATAAATTTAGTGTAGCCTCAGTGTCCAGTGATATAAAGTCTACAGTAGTGTACAGTGATGTGCTAGGTCTTCACATCACTCACCACTCACTCACTGACTCACCAGAGCAACTTCCAGTCCTGCGAGCTCCAGTCATGGTGAGTGCCCTATACAGGTGTGCCATTTTTCATCTTTAACACTGTATTTCTACTGCATGTTTTCTATGTTTAGACATGTTTAGATACACAAATACTTACCATTGTGTTACAATTACCTACAGTATTCAGTACAGTAACATGCTATACAGGTTGGAGCCTAGGAGCAATAGGCTATACTATGTAGCGTAGGTGTGTAGTAGGCTACACTATCTAGGTTTGTGTAAGTACACTCTGTGATGTTCACACAAGGACAAAATTGCCTAACGACGCATTCTCAGAATGTATCCCCGTTGTTAAGTGATATGTGACCGTAGATCAAAAAGGCAATGGTCAAAATACAATAGAAGTTCATCTTTCTCCCTTATAACATCCAGGATGGGTGCTCTGGTCCATGCAGTCATTCAGGGACTCGGGCCTTTGGTGGCTCAGCTGTCTTTAGTAGTAGCATGACTGCTGTCACCATTCCAGCCCAAAGGAAGGGGGAAGTGGCCTGGAGGCACGTGTGAAGGAGGTTTTAAGGGCTGGATAGCAATACCAGTTATCACCTACATTATACTGGAGCTCAAGTATTCACATGGGCACACCTGGGAGATGCAATGTAGCCTGGAGCCACATGCCCAGCTACTGTGAAAAAAAGGGCAAAATTGAGGTAACCATCCTGGTTTATTACATGGCGTAGTACTGACCCTAAAAGTTTTGCTGAAAATTTGCAGCCAATTTCTAAGCCATGCCAAAATTCAGGAATGAGTCCTCAGGCACAAGGCACGTAAGTCATGACAATGTGGGTTGTGGGTGGCTTTTCGGGCCATCCAGGGCACGTGGCGACCCATGCTGGGACTTGGCCCAGACTCTGCACTCAGGCCGGGGACAAGGTGACAGGGACCTGTGTAATGGACCTGGTCTTAAGAGGCGCCTGGTGTGATGTGCCAGCTCAGTCACAGTGCCAGAGGGGTTGGCACGTGGTAGGCAGGAATGACACCATGCATCAGGCAGTGGATCTGGGAACCCCACTGGCAGGAGTTGCCTCCTGGGAAACCCATCTAGAGCAACAGAAACCTAGATGCTGGGCTGGGTGACAGGGCTGGGGGGACAGGGGGTGTCAGGCAGGGAAAGTGGGCGGGGCTCCCAGGCACCTAACTGTACTCCAGGCCTGCCTCCAGTGCTGGACAGGGGGCAAGCAGAACGCAGTTATATGCCAGAAACTAAGTATTCTTCTGGTCTGACCTAAAACGGGATGGGAAGAGCAGGGATTAGAGAGGAGGAAGAGAGTTTAAATTATGGAGTAATGTTGATGTCTAGAAGTCACCCCAGGGGCCCAGGGCAAGCTGGGAGCAAGAAAGAGACCTGCTCGTCATGAGCAAACCATGAGCTCCGGGCTCTTGGGCAGGAATTCATTTCTAAGCCCTGCCGAGTGGGAGGCTGAGGCTTCCCGTACCTGCTGCCCCGGTCAGGACTGGCCCAGGAACTCAGGTGCTGGTGGATCCAGTTGTGAGGGTGGGGCAGCATTAGGGAATGTGGAAACAAGGGACACATTTACAGATTATCTTCTGAAATTGCCTTGCAGCTCTAAATGGTATAAAAATGTATTTCATTTAATTTTTAGTCACCCCCCAGTTCCTCAAGAAATATTCAACAAATGTTGGCAGATTCTATCAATCGTATGAAGGCATATGGATTTCACCAGGGAAAAGACTTAATTCTGTCTTCAGGGGGCTAAATGCATAGCCATTTCTACTAATGTTTCACAAATTGGTATATTAGTCTCACACAGAAATGAAATTAAGCAGCAGAGTGTGAAATCTGTTGTTAAAAGCTTGTGAACATAGCCATTCATCTTTACCTGTTTATCTGGAGTTGGAAAAGTCTTGAGTGTCATGGAAGGAACAGACGCCAACACATATCTGCAACACAACTCACGGAAGATCTGAAACAGAGACAGTATCTGGGGCTGCTGCGGACACGGAGGGAAGACTGATTTCAGAGTGACAAATGACGCATTAAACTTGGCAGAAATAGTGAATTCAGATAAAGTTCCTTGTGCGTCCATTCTTTCTGTGAGCCTGTCCCTTTACGATGAGCAGCCTCTTGTGCCATCCGTGTCCACTGTGCAGGAGCTCCTTTGGGCACCCAGATCTCCCTCACGTCCATCCAGATGTGAGATTCTCCCTACAGGCCCAGTCCGCTTCCTCCATCATCTAGACTTACCATACGTTGCTCACGATAAATGAGGCATAGACTGGTGCTTGGAAACTGTAGTAGGATTTGACCCTCAGAAAGTCTGAAAAAGTAGGTGTAAGATACGAGACTGTAAAAAAATGTTTCTGAGTGACCACAGGCCTGAGATCGGGGCTGTGGTAGAGGTCGGCCCCAAGGCCTGCGTTCCTGTGGACTGTGCGAACAGCTCCCTGACTCCTCTATAGGGACTCGCACGAACAGGATAGTTCGCATGTTTGAGACTTAAAGAAATTGTGGTGAATTTTTGGAGCTATAGTCCTGGTGTGCGAACTGCTGACATAATACGTACCTCTTTCTAAAATAGCAGCAATGGAGCAGCTAAAGGATATTTTCAGTAAGACTGCCTGGATTACATTATATCGGGTTTTTTTTTGTTTTGTTTTGTTTTGTTTTTGTGAGGAAGATCAGCCCTGAGCTAACGTCCATGCTAATCCTCTTTTTGCTGAGGAAGACCGGCTCTAAGCTAACATCTATTGCCAATCCTCCTCCTTTTTTTCCCCCCCAAAGCCTCAGTAATAGTTGTATGTCATAGTTGCACGTCCTTCCAGTTGCTGTGTGTGGGACACTGCCTCAGCATGGCCAGAGGAGCGGTGCGTCGGTGCGTGCCTGGGATCCCAACCCGGGTCGCCAGCCATGGAGCGCGCGCACTTAACCGCTAAGCCACGGGGCCGGCCCCATTACATCGTTTTAAATGAGGACAGATGAGAAAGAGGAAGGATGTGTGTGTTCATTCAGCCAACTTGTATTGTTTCTCCTACGTGCTGGGCACTGTTATGGGCATTGGGGACACAGTGAACAGGACAGACGAAGTCCCTGTCCTCAGGAAGCTTGTGTTCCAGATGGGGAGACAGATGATAACCGTTTTTATGAATTGTTATAAGTGCTATGGAGGAAAATAATGCAGGATAAGGGAGCTGAGGAATGCTGGAGGCTGGGAACTGGCTTCTCGGACAGGTAGTCAGAGAAGGCGATACTGGAGTAGACCCAAAAGAATGAGGGCAGGAGCGTGTGGACGGCTGGGCGAGAGTGTGTTGCAGGCAGAGGGAACAGCAGGTGTAGAGGCACAGAGGCAAGAGCCCACTTGACAGGGTCGAGAAGCAGCAGAGCAGCCAGTGAATGAGAAGGCAGATGAGGGCAGAGGAATCCTGTGGACCCAGGTGAGGAATTTGGGATCTAGGTGTGATTTTAAGCCAGGAGATACATGAGATCATCTGGAGAGTGAGTTTAGAAGGAGAAGAGAGGTGGTCTCCTGTCTCTGAAATGAGAGGTGGACTAGGCAGGTGGTTCTCAAACATTTGTAGAGGTGAGACAGCCAGACTTCTACCGTTTTCACTCCCTCTCACGAGAATGCCCTGGGCCGTGTACCATTTCATTCCTTCTCCAACTTAAGAAATTATATCAGAATTCAGGAGAATGAATGAGAGATCGCTTACCAAGCTTCTCTGTAGAACAATGGTGATAAAACAGAGCTGTCCTGCTCTGGGGGCAGTGGTGACGGGCCTTTGAGGAAACTGGTGGGAAGTGTTTCCATCAACAGGCCTGGACGAGAGGCTTTCTTTAGGAGACGTTTTGACAGCTCGAACTGCCCCTCTCGTCTCCACAGCTCATCCCCTGGGTGTCTGGCCCAGTGTCCAGCCTCAGCCCTGCGGCGCCTTCACTTCCAGCCTTTTCCCCGCTTGGCTCACAGTCCCCCTCCTGAACCTGCACGCTTCCAGCAAACACTTCTAAAGAGGGAATGACAGTTTTCTAAACAAAGATCAACTTGTAAAGAGTTTGCTAAAAGTAAATTTTCTGGAGGAATTCTTAGAGAAACTTCAGGACAAGTTCTAAAATTTTCTAGCTGCTTTGAATAAATACAACGATTAGGGCCAGCTCTCATCTGCTATTATTCTGTGAAACTCATTAATTTTTTCTCCTTTCCCACTGTGCCCATCCATAATTACACTGCAGATTAAAAAGGAATAGAATGTACTAAATATAGCACTCTCCCATATTTGAGCATCATCTTAACAAAGCGCCACCTGCATTGTTATTTACTTAATAGTCTCCCTTACACTGACTCACTTTGTAAACTTCTTGCTTTTCCTAAGCAACAATATCCATGATATCGTAGTTTAATGTTACAACTATATTTTTTCCAGTCATTTTAAAATATGCGTGTGGAAGACAAACAAAACTCCACTTTTAAGTTTTTTTCTGTTTAAGGTTAGAAATTACTAGCAGCATTTTCTATGTATTTCAGGCTTGTAAACAGCTTCACTAAGGGGATGGCAAATTTTAACAGTCATCTGAAACTCTAAAAGCTGTTCTTTGGTTTTTATAATATTGGCAAACAAAGGGGCTCAGTTCTAGAATGTGAGAAAAAAAGATGAAAACAGTAAACACACAAAGTTTAGTTGCATCTAAAGTAAAGTACAATTTATGAATTACCACCTTCTTCTACGTGAACTGTGATTTATGACTTCCCACGATGATTAAAAACAAGTTTCACAGCAACAAGTTTTATATTTTAGTTGTGGTGATATAATTTAACAGCAAGAAAGTCTGTCTTCTATAGGAAAACACAAAAGAGAAAACCTGGCATTTTTGTGATGCAGAGTGAAGCATGCTCAGTCTTTTCTGACGCTCCAGCTTGTTTCATTCCTTAGCCAACCAAGGCCTCTATTTAGTTCACCAAGTGGTAAATTCAGTTTTCTCACGAGCACTCAGAAGGCCATGGCCAAATAAACAAAGAACTTTTTAGGTCTAAGTGATTTGGTGTCTTGGTTTCCCTGTAGTTAAAAACTAATTCCCTCGAATGTAGTTACTGCCACAGAACTGTACACTTAAAAATGGTTAAGATGGTAAATTTTATCTTATGTGTATTTTACCACACACAAAAAAATGAATTCGTTTTTAAACGATGACTCATGTTTCTTATTTTATATTTTCCCTTCTCAAAGAGGATGCATTTTAAGCCACTTTTTTGAGCCCCTAAAATCACGTGTAAGAACCGCATTTTCAGACCCGTGGTTCAGGGGCACGTGCAGCTGAGATTGTTCTAGGAACGTGCCGTTATTCTGTGGAACCCGACAGGTACTGTGGTGTTTACCCTGGTGTCAGGAACCAGTGTTTACACACTACTTCAGGGGGCTGAGTTGAAACAGATAAGTGCTGTGTCTGAGGAAAATGAATATTTATTGAGTTCTTACTATGTGCTATACACTGTGCTCAGCACTTTTTAAAAATTATTTAACCCTCATTTATTATTTAACCCACAAAGTGTTTTTAATTTTCTCATTTTCCTTGGAAGGAACCAGCCTGAGAGAGGTTTAGTAGCCAGCTGTGGAGTTGTGCACCCGGGTAGCGGTAGAGCCAGCTTCAGGTACTGCTGGCTCCATGCTCTTCCCACAACACCACACGCCTCCTCAGGGGCCACAGGGAGTTAAAGAGAAATCGGGTGTGCCGAGAGCCCTTCTCCTCGCAGAAAACTGCCCGAGTCACTCACTGAGGTTTGTTTCTGTTTTTTCAAACAGAAGAAAGAATCTATGAAGAAAACACAAGATGAGGAAATAAAACAAATAGATGAAGAGAGAACCAAGCAGATTTATAAGAACTGGAAAGAAGATTCGGAGTGGCAGGCGTCCTGTGAGTACCCAGAGGCCTCCAGAGCACCTTCGCCTCTCTAAAGCGAGTCGTTCACGTAGTGAACTAATCTAGGAAGCACTTAAAGTCGTTGAGAGATGTTTTAACACTAAATTATTACCCAAAGGCTTACGAGCCACTTGTTGAGTAGCAGAAAGATTCTCAATTCATCTTTGTACCTTCAAAATTATGATGTATCTGTATGATGGAATGGTATATAGCTATGAAAAAACATGCTTTGGAAGAGTGTTTTATGACTTTGGAATATGTTTTTAGCTTGGAGAAGAAAAAACATTATAAAAGAGTATAACAAATCCCTATTTAAAAATGTCTAAATATATAAAGGAAAAGAACTGGAAGGTTATTAACATGTTAACATTAGTTTTCTTGGGAAGTGGGATTCGAGATTAGTTATTCGAATTCTTCTTGTTGTTATTCTGTATTTTTCTAAATTTCAAACAGTGAACACATCTTAACTTTGTGATCAGAAGAACACAGGAATAAGAGGCTGGATGTTTCAGCATCCTTCCCATGCTCTGACCCAGCCCTGACTCTTGAGTTATCAGCGCCAGAGATAAACCTCCTGGGGAGGAGGTCAGTGCAGATGAAGGCAGGGCAGAACGTGCCCAAGGATGCCAGGCCAGGCGACTTCAGGGTTGAAATAGGATTAGGGTTTTCATCCGGCTTGGACAAAAATCATCCTTGAGGCAGCTTGAGGAGGAGAATAGGAGTAGCAATGTTTGCAGGATTTTGAGAATCCTAAATTGATCTTTAGTTCCATTACAATGAACACCATTAAAATGAGAGTTTTGTGAAATGAAAATATTTGCAAGATCCAATCACTTCTATGCAGGGAACCCTAGTGTAATGGAGCAATTTCGGCATCTCTTTGAAGTCAAACATGACAGGATTTGACCGATATGCCTGAAGTGTAAATACACCCAATAGAAATTATTCTTACCTCCTGCACTGCAGTTCTTTAACACTGTTGCTAAAACAAAAACAAAACAAAACAATAAACCCTCTGTTTTATGAAGCAGTGTTAAAAGGCAGCCTTGGAGTACTTTTATGTGTACCGATATGTTCTATGATTGTCTGTGCTAAGAATCACTATTTTTTTGGCCTGGCAGGCTGATTCACTCTTGGATCAGCTCATGGTGGGCTCTGAGTGTGGCCCATGGCGAGCCTCGCTGCTCCTTCACTGTCCACAGCCACAAGCCACTGAGGGGTTCCTGGCAGCCTAATCTTTGCCAGTGACTCAGGGCACATGACATCCTGAACTCAAGTGTGTGAGGGATGTGACATCACCTCTAGTTATACAAAGACCCCCTGCCACCTGGAATCCTCTTTCAGGCTGTGACTCATCACTTAGTCTTGCCATCTGCAAGAAATTCTCGAACATGTGGTTCTCCATTTCTATCTGTTCCCTTCCTCCTCCTCTTCATTCCCTCTCAGAAAGTCCCCAAACTCCCTTATGAGAGAGGAATCTGCAGGGAACGCCGGGCAGTGGTGGATGTGCAGGCCCTAACTGTCTGAGGAATGGGCACTGATGGTGACTGTTCATTATTATCAGCAGGCGACAGCATGGGCCGAGAGCCTGCTCTGTCCCCCCTCCACAGTGCTGGTTCTTGTAACCATCTCTAGAGACTGACGAGGGCCTTTCCCAAACTGCTTGTTTTTCTAGTGCGAAAATCAAAAGCAGCGGATGAGAAGAGACGCTCCTTGGCTAAACAAGCTCGGGAAGACTACAAGAGGTTATCCTTAGGGGCCCAAAGAGGAAGAGGCAGTGAGGGACCGCAGAGGCCCTCAGGTCTTCCACAGAAACCCAAGAGACCCCCGCTTCCACCCAAGCCTCGGTTCCTAAGCCCAGCAGGATACCCTCAGAAACATCTTAGGTAAGAAGCCGCACAGATGGCTTTTAGCATAAGGGTTGAAATGGGCTGATTAAAGACAAATTGCATGACAGGCTATGGGGAGTGGAGGACCAGCTGGCTGCCTGTGTATTACAGGCATGTGTCGCTTAACGATGGAGATATGCTCTGAGAATTGTGTCATTGGGCGATTTCGTCGTTGTGTGAACATCATAGAGTGTACTTACACAAACCTAGATGGTATAGCCTACTGCACACCTAGGTTATATGGTACTAATCTTATGGGACCACCGCTGTATATGTGGTCCATCATTGACCGAAATGTCATTATGCGGCGCGTGACTGTAAATTCAGCCTCACCTCTAAGCCTGTCTTCCTGCTATCCCTGGTCTGGCATCCCCCTTCTTAGCTGTAAAATATCCACAGCTGTTATAATTAATGCACCCACTAGCTCCCTGTGCCATTAGCCCACCCCCACCCCCACCTCGTGCAATGGGCGAGCCAGCGAGGGGGAGAAGAGGAGACAACTGGGCTGTCATCAGCACCCAGTGTCGCTCTCAGTAGTAAGAGAATGTCAGAAAAGGAACCTGAGGGCATGCTGACTTTCCCACTGTTAGTAGGGCTACATTTCCATTGCTCGGGATCAAAGGTTTGATGGTAGTTCTCATTCTGGGATACATAGCCAACTTCTGTGTTGAGAATTTGGAAATGTTCCTTTTATGTATTTATTTGGTTTTTTTCTCCTGAGGAAGATTCACGCTGAGCTAACATCTGTGCCCGTCCTCCTGTATTTTCCATGTGGGTCGCTGCCACAGCATGGCTTGACAAGTGGTGTAGGTCTGCACCCAGGATCCAGACCCGTGAACCCGGGCCACTGAAGTGGAGTGCACAGAACTTTAACCACCTGGCCATGGGGCCGCCCCCAAATGTTCCTTTTTTGAATGAACTCTCTACTTGGTGATGGTGGTACCTTTGCCTCCTAGGTTGTGGGGAAATTAGGCAGAACAGAATTAGAATTGTGGAAAATTCCTAAGGAAAAGTACAGTGATATCACAGCAGAAACCCCCATCCCTTATGTTAACTGGTTATAAAATTATTTTCTGCTGGTTATTGATATTATATAATTTTATCATATTCTAAAATGTAGAAAGATAATATTTAAAATAACCAGGAGAAATCAAATATTGATTGAATGAAACAGCCTTGCCTTCTGAAATAAAAACTAAAAATGCTTCTCTGTTAGAAGTATGGAGAAATGAAAAACAAACAAAAGTCTCCCTTTGCTGGGAGTCAGTATTTATCCTCAAGGCTTTTTCCTAACGGAGATGATGACCTCAGAGGAAATGTGAGGTGGACTTTTTCGTCTGCTGTAATTATTTCTACTTACTCAGCTGAAAAGGTCCATTTTGGGACTGGAGACCCACACTAAATGACCGTGTTCTACAAAGTGACAGTGCGGGGAATGATTTTTTTCTTATGGACAACAAAACAAGAAAGGTGATCAGGAAACGAGTGTCCCCTCAGTTTTCTGACCGGGTCACAAAGGTGTGAGTTCCCACACAGGGCCTCTGCAGGGCCCCAGCTCGTCTGCCCGCATGCTGGCCACAGATCCCGGCAGGGCTGCTGACATAGCCGCTCCTGGTCTCCAGGCTCTTCCGAGGGTGGAACTACGAGCTGTAAAAGGTTCTCGCCTGCGTATTTTTAGGCGCAGTGTATGTGACTGACAGCAGTGAAGGTGGCCTCTAATAAGGGCGATTCTTGTTAAGCTGTGCTCCATTAGCTCATTTTTGCCAACTTAAGACACTCACATGAAGTGCTTCTTATGAGGCAGCCAGACTGGATGGTTTTAGGGCTGGGATTTTAAACAGTGATGACTAAGGTCAGCTAGGAGCCAGCCTGGAAAAACGCAGAGACTCTCTGTCCTTGGAGATTTTGCTTGATGTCCAAAGAATCCCCAAGGGGAAAAAACCTCCTTTGAAAACTAGTAAGAGAACTTATCACGTGATCTCACACATGTGTATTGTCTGCTCCCCAGGAAAGTCAAGTAGTCTAAGCTGTTTTCTCCAAAATGCTATGTATGTATGTATATGCACATGTACATGTATATATGTACATCTGACATATATGTCACATGTAACTCGTGGTAGCCTATGTTGCCATAGTAAGCATAAGGAGCCATAAGTTAATTTAAACAACACGACATTCCAGTAGCTCATCCAAACTCCTTGTTGTTTTCACATTGAATTCTGCTCAAAATTAGTGGGCTGTGGTGTGGGACTTGGAAATACATTTATTACATTGAATGTTACTTTTTGTAATGGAAACTGACATCCCAGAGCTTAGGTTGTGCTACTGAATTCATTTCCAAACAGTTCTGCTGCCTGTCTTTTTCTTACCAATCTTCAAACACTCTTCTTTCTTTTACTTTATGTTTCTGAGACTGTCTTTTAGCAGAAGTAAACCTCTTCAAAGTGTGGGAGAGAAGAAAGCAAATCAGGGAGGTTAGTAGAAACAGAAAGAAGAGAAAATCAAATAATGAAAATGTTAGGAAAGAAGTTAATTTTATTGCACTTGATTTCTTTTGTTTACAAGTGCATGCTTTCTAGGAAAATAGTGCTGGGGTGCATTTCACTTTTTAATGCTTATTTTCTCAAATTTTAATTGGGAGTTAATGGAGCATCTAATTCATATTAAAAATGAATTTAAATCTCGGTGTTAACACAGCAGTAGCTCATACCCATGACTAGCCCTGTAGGACGGAAGGACAAGTGACAGATTTATATTCCTTCCTTCCTCCTTTCTGCCCTTGAGGAGTTGTATGATGGCAGCATGTGGGCACAACCTCCCATTAGCTCAGCCCATGCGGTTAGATCTGCAAATGTATATAATTCTCTCTCTCTCTCACTCTCTGTCTATATGTAAGATTTTGGAAGGCATTATTTTCAAATTAATTAAATCTAACTTGGTGACCTGCTTTATAACTAATAGAAACCAAGGAGTGATGAGGACAGCATCCGGCTCTGCCCTGGAGGACATCATCCGATGGTTTAGAGAAGAGCAGCTCCCACTGCGAGCAGGCTACCAGAAAACCGCAGACACCATAGCTCCCTGGTTCCATGGTGAGTACAGAGATGTCCTCAATGGAACCTCATCTGACGGTGGCTGAAGCCGTGCTAATCCACCAGGAAGGCAGAAAGAATAAAGGCTTACTTTTATTTGTGCTGCCCAAGAAGAATCTTTGAAGTTATTTTCACAAAGTAGTTTTTCAAAGGTTTCTCAGTGAGCTGCATTCCCATGACATTTCGAAAGCAGTCAGCGTCATGGTCACTGCGTGTACCATGGATTAGTTATCACCACAAATGAAACCCCAGTGGGTGGGTGGGGAAAGCAGCACCTCCTGTTCACCTACACTAGGGGACTTGATTGTGACTTCCATCAAATGGCAACGCCGTGCATCCACGACCCACCGAGGGAGAGTCAGAGACAGCCACTGGGGGTGGTGGGCCGGGCGTCAGTTTAGCTTAGTCGAAAGGTCAGTTCTCCATTAACTAGTTGAGCGACCTTGAGCAAATCATCTTTCTCTGTAGTAAATCAATTTATCTGAGCCTCATTTTCCTCATCTATTAAATGAAGGAGTTGAACTTCGTGATCTTTAACTTAAAAATTCTGTGGTTTTGATCCTTGTTTCTGGTACGTGATTAAGCTTGCAAGGCAGGTTTGTTGGAGCCTGAGCAGATGTTAGCTAATAAACCATTTCTTTGTTTGACCCTAGAAACTTGATTAATTCAAGCGCTCTGTTGACACAGCTCACATTTCACTGACCTCTCAGTTTCTGGGACTTCAAGAAAAGGAGGTGGCTTCTTGCCTCCGCTGGCTTCCACGGGGTCTGCGGTCGAATTGGACTAATTGGCTCCGTGTACAGTAAAAGTACCTTAAAACAAAAATGAAGTTCTCTCACAGAGCACGCCTGTCTGAAGCCTCCTTCCTTTCCATTCTGCTCTGAAGACATGGGGAGAAAGAGTGACAAGTCTCAAAAGACGAATAGAAAGAACACGGGGCGATTACACGGCAGTCGTGGCTATCCCCACTGTCTCCTATTGCCTGCTTTTATTTCATTTTTAAGATAAGCAGTGAGGAAATCGGCCAGTTCGTAGTTTCTGTGTCACTGGGCAGAAGATGCTGTCCTCTCTGGTTACAAGGATGGTAGTTTTTATTTTAACAGCAGGAAGTAAGAAATTGAAAATGTTGATTAATGTTATTAAAAATGCTGGTACCTTGACAGTTCTATTTGAAACAGTTGCTAAAAGCTAGGAAGACATAGTTGCACTAAAAATCTAGTTGGAGCTTTGGTTAAAAAATAAGACTTTTGACTTTTACATATAATAACATATTAATTGCATCATTATTGATTTTTTATTTTCATTTATACAAATATTTATCATGGTCATAAGCAAAATAAATAATACAATATGATACAATATAATAATGTAATAATAAATAACTACCCAGCCATTTAGTTAATATAAATATTATCTTCAGCTTTAAGAAGACAAAATTTCACGTTTCTATGATAAAGAGAAGATGGGTTGCACCTTATCTTTTTGAAATATAATTGTTTATTTATCAGGAACCCTGTTTTGAAATAATGGGATGGTAGTTCCTCTTTATGTATTTACCACCTTCCTTTCATTGTCATACACTCCATAAATTCCCCTTCTTAAGTTCCTCTTTTGGTCACCTAATCTTTCACCCCACAGAAGTTCATACTTTCACCCTTTGCTCTGAATTAGCTTTCGATAAGGATGGGAGTGGGCAGGAGAGGACAAGGGAAGTGAAGACTGTGGATCTCTGGCTTGTGGGCCGGGTGGAAGGTGGCATGCTATCAGTTGAGAGAAGGAACATGGGAAGGTGCGGAGATTTAGAGAAGGGGAGGAGAGAAGAAGGGAGACAGTGAGTTTATTTAGGATATGATGAGTTTGAAATGTCCCTGGAGGAGTCGTGAAAATATCCATTTGGCAATCGGATTACTGGGGCAGTGTCGAGATAACAGATTGGGGCCATCAGCACGTAAGTGACAGTGTGGGAGGGGACGAAATTTCCCGGGAGTGAGTTGGGAAGAATGATGAGAGCAGGAGACCAAGGACAAAACCCTGGGAGCACCAGCGTTCAGTGCGCCGGCAGACGAGAGCGGAGACCCCAGATATTTGTCTCAGGTCTCCTTTCCCACTCAGGTCTTGATGAGGCAAAATAATGCACAGCTTTGAAATATGCTGCTGTGGGTGCGTGCTCTGTGGATGCCGGTTCTATAATCAGTGAAATAGGATGTTCCCTCTGAACTCCCTGATATAGGAAGTTGACAGAAAGTCCCGAGTGCAGGAGAGACCCTGCGATGAAGTGCTGAACTCTGCTTCCTGAGCCTCTTCTGATGATCTGAAGCAAATCTAGATATGCACAGTTTCCCCACATCTACCCCTCTCTCGGCCAGAATTTAAAGGTTTTTTCAGAGACCATGGGTCTCAACTTTCACTGGACATTTGGTCCCACTGCTATGTGGGACTGTGGGAGAACCCACTGAAAAGATTCTCAAGTTCTTTTTCACTTTTTGTTAGTTTTCCTTGGAGCCAAAGCACATTGCTAGCTTTCACTTGGATGACTTTGTGTTAGAACCCAGATGGAATGATAAGAGACTTGCTGGCCATTTCTTGGCTGCTTCCTGTATTCCTAGTGGGTTGGAGAACAGAGACCTGATTCCAGGTCATGTGCATTGGCTCCTTCCCAGGACACTTTTCCCCCTGACCCCTGGGAAGGAACTCCCTGCAAATTTGTAGCCCAGCCTACTATACTGTGCAGCCACAGAATCAGGAAGAATACGTGGAAGCCCCAACAGTTTTGGCAGAGGGCCTTGTGAAGGAATTTTGTAGTTGGTATTTTTCTGATTTTTTAATATTCTGAAAATATAATTAATGTTAGTTAATGTGGAAATTTTATACTCACAGTTTAAATATAGGAGGACAGTGGAAAATACTGCAGTGTATGTCATAGAGCACCGTTTCTTGCTGAGACCCTTCAATGGGAAAAAGTTCTGGACTTCATCATCATGTGAAGAACCAGCGTCATTTATGTCAGTCTCTCACCTGGCCTCCTGGATCAGCCTCCTAACTGGTCTCAGTCTTTCCTCTGCTGTCCCCTGTCCTCAACATAATCAAACTGCAGTGAGAGTGAAACCCAGACTCCTTCCTGGGGCCCACAAGAGCCTCTTTGACCTGCCCCTGCCTGTTGCTCCAGACCCGTTTCAGACCACGTTCCTGGTCTCGTTCACTGTTCCCCGCCGCTCGTCTCCCTTCTGTCCTGCACACACCACACTTGTCCCTTCCTTATTTCTTTCCCATGACTCTTATGGGTCCACGGTGGAATTGCCTTATTTTCATGTGGTCTGATTTGCAGTGAGGTTGAGCCTTTCATGGTTCCTGGCAAGGTGGGTGTCTTCTATAATTTCTTGTCATCTTTTGACCATTTTCCCAGTGTATTGAGTTTTTAATAATGATTCATAGATTTTATATATTCTGGATACTAGTGCTTTGTCAATTTTATGGGTTGCATATATCTTCTCCTAGTCTGTGATTTGTCTTTTAGCTTTTTGGCACATTTCAAGGCATAGAAGTTTTTCATTTCAATGAGGTTGAGTTTAGCTATTTTTCCTTTATGGTTTTTGCTTGCTGTATGATACACAGTCCACCTGTAGTTTATTTTTGTATACAATATGCATTCCTATATGTTTAGAATAAGTCTTTATATCTAGTAGGGCAAGTTCTCCCTTCTCTTAAACTTCTTTGAAATTGTCTTAACTCTTCTTGGCCCCTTTATATGCTCACATGGCTTCTAGGGGCAACATGTCAAGTTTCAAAAACCTTTTTGGGATTTTGAATGGAATTGCATTGAATTTGTAGATTAATTTGGAGAGATAATTGCCATCTTTATGTTATTGTATCTTTCCATCCATGAACATGGCAATTCTCTCCTTATATTTCTTTTTAAATCATTAAATAAATTCCCCATACAGGACGTGCACCTTTTAAAAAAAAAAGCAAACTAGATTTAGTCCTATGTACTTATAAATTTTTTGCTTCTATTTTGAAAGGGATTTTTAAAAATTACATAATTGGTTGTTATTGGTCTAGAGAAATTATGTTTTCATGTATTGATCTTGAATCCAGTAACACTGCTGAACTCTCTTATTAATTCTAATTGTTTATCAGAAGATTCTGTTGAGCCTTAATTTTTTGAGGGCCTAATACACGCCAGGCTTTGTATTGAGCACTTTGAAGTGGTAACTTTTATTCCCACTTTCTAGAACAAGAACCAAGCACTAAGACGTTCAGTTCTTTTCCAGGCTTCTCCCACTAGTGGCAGAGTCGATATTCAGACCCAGATCTACTTAACTTCAAAGCCATAGCGTATCTGACCACTGACAGAAGTGGGAACACCACATCATGCTTTTAATTTAACTTGTGGAATTTAAATCAGTGAACACTAATACCACAGAGATTTGTTTTTCCAATCAATGGAGCCCACTAAATCTCAGTCAGTGTGAAGTAGAAGTGTCAGGGAGACTCCACTCAGCATAACTTTTGCCCCATCCCCACCTATGAGAATAAGGAAAAAGCACGTTTTTGTTTGAACATTGTTCTGCTCACTCCCCAGTAGAATTCCAAGAAGCAGGTATTTAACATTCAAATCTTTAATAAAATGCCCCAAAGCCACAAGGGTTTGGGGTAATAGAAATGCAATCTATATTGTGATTGTGGTAATGGCTACTCAACTAGATACATTATACTGATCAAATTGCACACTTAAAACTGGTGAATTTTATTGTATGGAAATTATATCTCAAGCTGATTTTTTAAAAATTTAATTCCTGAAAGCAGGGCGGAGTTTTCTTAGCTCCTGGCATGGAAAGTGGTGTGCAGGCTTAGCACAAGACTCCAGGACCAGATCACCTGGCTTTGAGTTGGCTTTTCTCCTCTGTGAGATGGGGGTAATAATATCTACACCGTAGAGTCGTGTTTTTACGCTAAATCAGCTAACGTATGTAAAGTGCTTAGGACGGTGCCTGGCACAT